TCGTGCACGATGACCGGGCAGTCATGGATCGCACACCACCGCCGATCGCTCTGGCAGTGCCATTATTTTCTAATGGCCCCACAGTCGTGCCAGGCAGATTGCGTGGTTTCCCGCTGCAATACTGCCCTGCCTGTGCGGTTGAAAACACTGCGCGTTTATTCGCATGCAGATGATGGGGGCAGCGGGGTTGGTTTTCATTTTTTAAATTTTTATTTATTTTATTATTTTTACTTTATCGCCTTTTTTATTTTTTACATTTTTATTTAGTTACATTTTTAATTAGTTATTATTTTTTACTTTTTTTATTTTATTATTTTTTACTTTTTTCACAAACTTTATTGCTATCACACAGGGGCTAACAAGCCCTGTGTTATAGCATTTGGAGGGGGACAGGTACTCTTTATTGACCCTGTCACCTCCAACACAGGAACGAACAGCGGCCGGGAACAGAGGCTGAAGGAGGTGACAGAGCCTGTCAAAGGTCCACCGTCAGGCTCTGTCACTGATCCACGCCCCCTGCTCGCAGCTCTTCACGCCCCTGCTCTGTCACCACTCCACGCCCCCGGCTCGCAGCGCTCCACGCCCCCTGCCCTTGCCACTCAGCTGCAAAAAAAATAAATCAGCGCTGCTACTTGTCCGTAGCAGGGCTAAAACACTGAAAAAAAACACTTGCCCGGCGCCCGGAACTACATGTCCCGGGCGTCGGGGGCGATATGAATTTCACACCCCTGTACTGTATAATGTGTGTGTGTAACCCAATTCCAAAACATCTACATAAAAACAGAATGCAATGATTTTCAAATCTCAGAAACCCAGATTTTATTCACAATCGAAAGTAGAATCTATATCAAATGTTTAAAATGAGAAAATGAGCCATTTTAAAAGGAGAACTATGGGGTCAGTGTTTTTCCCCATAGTTCTCCTTAGGGTAACGGGAGGACACAAACTAGCATCCTCCCGTTACCCTAAGCTCAGTATACCGCGAGCCACAGCTCGCGGTATAATGAGACGCCGGAGCGGATCCCGACTTAGATGACTGAATCCACCCAGCTGCGTGAGTGACAGCTGGCTCTGCCTATCTAGAGGCAGAGCCAGCTGTACCCTCCCCCGTCCGTTCCGCCAGTCAGCGCTGGCAGATTGGAGCGGGGAGAGTGGAATCCAGCCCCTCCCCCTGTCACGGCAGAGAGCCGTGACCGGATCGAGAGGCGAGAAAACCCGGTATGTATTCGCTCACCTCACAATCTACTGAGCCGACCTGTGACAGTCTCATTGTCACAGGTCGGCTAGAATTATGAGGTGAGTGAAAAGCACTCATCTCATAGTTCTCATTTAACAAAAAAATAAGGTCATTTTGAAATTGATGGCAGCAACACTTCTCCAAAAAGTTGGGACAGGGCAACAGCTGGCAAAGTAAGTGGTCCTATGGATCAGGAGTATGTAACAGAGTGCAGAGGTTGATGAACAGTGTAGATGGGCGCCATTATTTTGGTGGTCAGTGTGAAGAATGCTCCTTACATGGCTGGTCAGTGGAAAGTGAAAAACATGCGTTTTTTTGCATACTGTATATCTACTGCTAGCAAGCGGTGTATATATAGATCAGCTAGCAAGCAGAAGATATATGCAAAAACATTTTACAAAGTATTAATTACTAAAAGGTTAAAACTTACCTGGGTCTCCGGCGGGCGGTCCCGTTCGAAGATTTGAAGATTCTCGGGCGGCCGCAAGTGATGATGGGGCTGGCGCATGCGCAGTAGAGATCTTCGGTCAGGAGAAGAGAGACACAAGGTAAGTCAATGCACACGGAGAGACACCGTGGTAGAAAGAAGACACATACTGTATGTGAGAAGTAGAAACTGCCCATCTCTCCCAGAAACTCTGGACGATGCCTAGGCTTCTATGAACCCCTGAGGGCTTGTTCACACCAATTGTATTGCAATCCAGAGCGGGAGCTGCTGGAACGCATGGCAATCGCTTACAAAACG